TATTTTTCTCAAACACGCAGGAGAGCTGCATATCGTTATATTAAGAAGAAAAAAGGGGTAAAAAACCCTTACTATGAATGAAATTAGTCAATACTTTTCCCCTAAAAGATTAATTAATGCTAACTAGTGTGCCTGGTCACTGAGCTGAAATTGCCCTGTGCTTGACTACCAGTCGAAACATGTTATCATGAAGTGCAAGTACTTGGGTCGCTTCCAGGGGAAATTTACAGTGGTTTCTTTCTGTGATTTTCTATCTAGTTCAGAGGTAGTTTCTCAAAACCTAGTCTGGGTCCATACAAATTGATCAGCTGTCTGATATTCAAAGGCATCCTTTTGGAGATTTTTGTACTGTAGCACCTAATGCATGGATCCAAAATCTGTAGTTTTTCAGGAAAAAACCACTTGCTTGCAGCCCCTCAAGCCTACCAAAGTATCCCCCAAGTAAAGAGTATGATGCTAGACTTCGAAGGGAAGAAGCAATGAGGTACCATTTTTCCTAATATTTTCTTATTGGCTTCAGGGTGTGCGAGGTTGCAATCAAGAAGAATTATTGGTTATGTTGATGTATTGTCTTCTTGTCTCAACAGGAAAAGAAAGGCAGCTGAGAGTGTAAGTGGATTTCGATCTGTCGAAACAGATGGAAATCCTTTCGCAAGCGAGAAAACAAAGGTTGCTATGATTAGACCTGAATCTGCTGATGCAAGGAATGAAGTACTTGGTTCTCAGAACAGCAACCTGGGCTCGAAGGGCCCAGTTGTGGTAAGTACAGTACTTCTTAAATACTGATTTTACATACTGTTGTACTCAACGAAAGAATTGTGGTTGGTACCATCATATTTTCGACGTACTATTTCTCAAAGTATTTTGTTCTGCTCTGTTGACATGGATATACAATTTATTTTTTGTAATTCTTGGGATTGGTTAGTTCCAGATTCAGTGGATACAGAGGTTTTATGCTCTGCAATGATGTGAATCCTATGCTACCGATTGCGGACTGCGCTTGTTTATGTAATATTTTGCAATTGTTGTATAAGCTGAGATCCATAGAGTTTGCGTGAACATTGCACATATTGACTTATTTTTCTATTGGAACAAGTTTGCTGCATTGACATTTTTTTTTCTCGAACAGCGCAGGAGAACTTTGACATTACATCAGAGTATTTTTGGTGTTTTTCTTTGTCTACCATTAACAACTTGTTTGCTATACTTCTATCTGATCAGAGGTACAAGGGCAAAAGCAGAATATATCAGCACTCAGGTTCAATGATTACAGCAAAAGGAAACATGGAGCGGATGCTCAAGGAGCATGAAAAGAATATCCAAGAAGCAGTGCGCAAAGCGCGCCTCAACAAGAGCAGAGAGCTGTGAAGCAGGTTGCTGAGGATAAATTGTTGACCATACTGTCATTTCCATGTTTCGACTCATGCTGCCCCAAGACCAGATCAAAAGATTAAGTTGCTTTTGCGTTGATTCAATCCTGGAATTTTGGGAGATCAACCACCTTAGCTGGATTGGCATGGAGTTCAACTGCAGGTTGTGCCCAGCAGCTTCTGAAACATCACCCACTTATTGTTGTGCCCTCTGCTGCAGCGTCTTTCTTCTTCCCTGAAGCTTCGAAGCACATATCAGTGGTAGCCTGGTAGGAGAGGCCGATGCACAATGGTGTGCTGCTCTCAGCTAGGCTTACACCCCCCAAGCCATGTTATTAGGACCGGACCGGACCGGCGGTCGGACCGGTAAAAGACCGAACCAGAGCCTACACCGGTCCGGTTTACTTCATAGACCGTCTGTGCAATCGAACCGCTATAAACTGGTTGAACCGGCCGGTTTTTTGTCGAACCGCTGAACCGGGCGGTTCCTAGCGAACCGGTGGGTTTTGATTTTTTTTCCAAAAATACCCCTCTGTGCACTCAGTGCAGCCTTATCTACTTAGGGGCATTGATGTAAATTGGTGAAAATGGGTCCTTAGGGTTGTTTGCCGGCTGTGGGAAGGAAAAAAAATCACGTTATCCTTTTCGCGTCGCTGCTTGCGTTCTGGGCGGCGGTACTGCTTGCGTGCGTTCTGGGCGGCGGCGGCGGCTCTGCTGATCTGCTCCTGCAGTCCTGCCTCCCTAGCGGCCTTCGCACAGCGATCATCTGGGCGGCGGATTCACTTTCAGAGCAGCCAGCGCGAAAGAGCGCTTGGCAGGAGCGGCCTTGGCGGGCGGATCCTGCAGCGACGGGCAGCTGTGCCCTGCCTCCAGCGCCCGAGGAGATCGCTTGGCCCCCCCGTCGAGGATCCTGCCGTGCCCGTGCTCAGCCATTGTCAAACTGAGGTCCAGCTCTTCTCTGTATCTATATCTCTGTAGTCTGTATGCTGAGGCATTCGCCAAAATATATACGGCATGCTGTTGCTTGAGCTAGCTGCAACTTTCATCTTTCATTGTGGATTTTAGCTGGGTTTTTGAATTGTGATATGTCATAACCAAGTTAGATGTATGTGGCTTGTATTTTTGGAGTACAACATTCTTGTTATTACTGTACTGTAAGACTCCGTGCTCGTGGAGCGGAGAGGCTGGCTGCGGCCGGAGCGAATGAGCTCTCGGTGGAGTGCGGACAATGTCGTGTGTCATGTTGTGCAATTTAAATTTGTGTTGTTTATCGTCTGTCAATTATTTTATATATATATATATATATATATATATATATATATATATATATATATATATATATATATATATATATATACCGGTTCAAAGTTTTTGTGGCCGGTTCAATTCGTCCGGTTCAAAATAATTGAACCGGCGGTTCAATCGGTTCTAAACGGTTCGACCAGTGAACCGATGGCCTCGCCGGTTCGATCTCTGGTCCGGTCCTAATAACTTGGCCCCCAAGGCCCCAAGCACATGATCCTCTAGATCATTTGAAAAATTGGCACAGAAGGGCCTTCGACAGCCGCTCTTCTGCTGGACAGACAGATTCGTAGCCCAGCCTGGTGCAGCAGTCATATATTAATGTAAGGGGATGTAAGTGGGTTGTATGCTGACATAGAGGTCTAGAGGAGAGAGGGAGAAAGAGAAGAGAAGCGGGTTATAAGCTTACAACCAGCTTATGCACAAGAATCAAGAAGTTCTGTGAGACAGACAAGTGGGCTATAAGTCAGCTAACTATTATACAAGTGGACTGATAGATTGGTTGTAATTTTCCATACAGCCAGCAGCCGACTGTATTATTAGCGTTGCTCTTATATCTCTGGATTCCCAAGGATCCTAGTACAGCAGTCATATATTAATGTAATAAGTTATTATGCCTCTCACAGGGCAAGTGCTCCCTTTACCACACTCCAGGTGTTTGTAAATTGGTCCGGTTTTCTGACCTTGCAATATGAACAGCGTGTTCGTTATTCAAGCAATTGTCCATGATTTTGGGCTCCACAAGAAGCAAAACTTGGAACTACCATTTCGGCTGCAAAATTGAGCTTCCATTTCCCACAAATCTTTTCATTTTTGAAAATATTATGAATCAAGCCCTGGTCTGGTAACAAATCAAATGAAGAAGCAATGGTTTCAAGTTCCGTGTTCTACAAAATGTTGAGAAGTCATTATTGTGAGATCACAAGACATTTTCTACAGCATTTCTCCAATGAAACCTAAACAAAAGATGTCTGTATATCTGACTTTACTAATTGTTTCATTGGGCCTGTTCGCTTGGAGGAATTTGGATGGTTCGGAGGGATGCTGGAGGAATTTGTGAGAGGAAAACACTGTTCCGGATGAAAAAAGAAGCGAATCAAGCCGGGTTTAAGGGCACGCGAACGGGGCCATTATGTCAGACAATTTCTTCCCTTGGAAGTTATGTTCTTTTTCAATCGTTAGTTACAACATCCAAGTTGCTGGTGTGATCCTGTTGTATATATTTATGTGTATTCTCGATTTGTGGGTGCAGAAGGAACAAAATATAAATCTGACTGTTGTAGTAAGAGAAAAAGTAGATTGGAAAAAATGAGCTAACGGGTTGATGCTTGTTGTAGATGTCAAATGTGGTGCTTATACGGTGAAAATGATTTCTTGTGAAAATTTGTTCTTGGCTTGTTCAAATAGGCAGAGTTACCTCTATCACCAATTCCACTTCTTTTCATAATATTTGCCACAAATCCTTTCATTTCACGTAAATACTCTGAATCGAAACACTGAAATGACGACGACTCAATAGAGTTCAGAAAGAAAAAAGCGTCTACACAAATGACGAAATAAAGCTCAGTAGGCTTTTATGGAATGTTCATTTCGTCATCCTGGAGTTCATATATAACTCCAGATCCCATTCCCCCCAAGGATTATACACAGACACCGACAAAATAAGCAAAAAAAAAAAAACACGAAATCACACACACACCAATCACAGCGTCAAATGCTGTTTCACCAGAACAGAAAAAAAAATTCTGAACTTCAGATTAAATTTATGAATGCTTATGCCTGTTTAGTTCCCAAAATTTTGCAAATTTTTTTAAAATTTCCCATCACATCGAATTTTTGGACGCATGCATTAAGCATTAAATATAAATAAAAAATAAAACTAATTATACAGTTTAGACGAAATTCACGAGACGAATCTTTTAAGCCTAATTAGACTATGATTGAACACTAATTGCCAAATAACAACGAAAGTGCTACAATATCATTCCCCAACAAATTTCGCCAACTAAACCAGGCCTTATTCGATCTAACTCCTGTAACAGTAGCATGTATTAATTAGGAGTATATCATTATTAGCATATTAATGACTATCTCAAGGGCAAAATGGCATGGCGTCCTTGTCCCTGTGGCTCGGAATGGAGAAGTGCCGGAGCCTGCCAGCTTCCTCCTTGAGGTACGCCTCGCAAAGGAACGCCCTGGTGAAGCTCTCCTCGGCCGTGCCATCCACGCCGTGGACCAGCACGTCCGTCTCCCCCGTCCCCGGGCGCCGCGCCCTCGCCGCCACCGCGGCCGTGTATATCGCGCCCGGCACCGGCGCGTCCACCACGATCACGTCCCACTCCGCCTCGTAGAACGCTGCCGGCAGCCCGCGCGGCGACTGCTCCAGGTCAGGTGGTCCGGGTCGAGAGGTTTCGTCGGGGAGGCAACGGCGCAGTCGGAGGAGTTGCGGAGGGCCAGGAGGTCTTCGTCGGACAGCGTCGTCATGGTGGCTTCTTGTTGGAAGGCGACGGGGTGGGCCTGGAGGTCGATGCCGGCCGGGTGCGCGGCGCGGGCGGAGGCGATCCGGTCGGCGTCCGCCTCGAGGAAGAGCGTGCGGCCGCCGTGGTTGAGCGCCGCCCAGAGCGCGCTGTCGGGTCCCAGCCCGAACACCAGGAGGCCGCACGGCGCGCGCCGCGCAAGCACGCGCGCGGCCGCGCGGGCCTCGGCCTCCGTCTGGCGCGGCGTCTCGTTCGACGTCGCGTACTGGACCAGCGCCTCCGCGACGGATGCCGGCACCTTGGCGCACTCTTGGTGGTGCTGCTCCTGCTGGTCATCAGCGTGGTGGGCGACGACGGCCGCGGGCGGCGTGGAGGCAGCGGTGGGGGCAGCGGTGGTGGTGGCGGCGCCGGCGCCGGCGCTTGATCTGGCGCCGCGCGACGCGGCGGAGTGGAGGGTGCGGAGGGTGAAGAGGAGGAGGAAAGCGGAGGTGGCGGCGGCAGCGAGCAGGACGACGCGGCGCGGGGTGACGGTGTGCTTGAGCTTCACCTTGGCGGAGATGAGGTGGGTCTTGAGCTTGGCCTTCCGCGCGTGCATGGGGCTCGTCATCGTGCTCAGGAGCACACTGCACACTACCTACTCTGAGCGAGAGGATGTGTTTTGTTTTTTTAGCCTTTTTGGCCTTTCGAGTGCCTGCCAAGTGCCAACAGTTGTGCGTTGGGACGGCAATACTTTGGTTTAGACTTGCACTGGTTGATGCTTCAAGATTCAGCAAAACGTCGTAGCATCAGCAGCTGGTCTGTGAGGTGTGTGATGAGGATTAGGCACCTAATGTTTGGTGCGGCCGCGTGGGTTAGTTAGATCTTCGCCTGGAAATACAAGAAGCAGCTCCCCCAAGATATACCATCTCATGTATCCTTAAAATGTCCATAGAAGATGATCTTCTATCGCTAGTAGACAGAATGGTTTTACTGTAGGTACTTTTGATCCCTGTTCTTCAGCACTACTTTTTAGCGAAGGAATATTGTTTTTCTCTCATAGTAAATCAGCATCAGCGTCAGTCAAATTTTAGCAAAACGAACAGGGCCGGCGCTTTTGCTGGCTGCTAGTGTAAAATCAGCAAACTTCAAAAAAAAATTTACCGGCCGCCAGTGTGAAATCAACAAACTTTACTGATGCTATCTAAAAACCACCACTATAAATATTTACACTCATAATTTTCTTAAGAAAACCACATTGTAAATGATTTCTCAGATTGCAGATCAGGCTCAAAAAATAGCAAAAAAGTTATATTTTTGCGAGAGACACAACATATGCGGTTCCTAGGATTGGACTCAACACCTCAAACCTCACGTCATTCACCCCTTACCACTGCACCTCAAAGTCAATTATGACTTAACAACAGAAATATCCCATTAGTATTCACTCCAACATATTTTGAAATGGATATTTGAAGCCTTAAACGGATTAATAAAAAGACTACAAAGTTGCTTTTGATCATTTTCTCATCTGAGGTCATTTGAGAAATTCAAAAAAATAAATTTTAAAATTATTAATCTTAAAACACAATTTTCAAGCTAAATGAAAATGTTATCAACTACAAAGTTGTAGATCTTTTCGAATGCTAAAATTTTTTTCCAGACCATTTTTCCATTTGAGATCATTTAAAAAAGTCAAAAACAAATATTTATAATGACGCTAGGTTAAGGAAACTGTCATTACTGGTGGTAGACTAAAAAAACAGTCAGTAAAAATAAATCTACAGTTTGGTGTTGTGCACTTGGAAACTATTCTTTTTTAGTTTGGCTTCGTTTTCTATTAGAAACAAGAGTGTTTTATTCATAACGTATAATATAACTAGAAATAAAATACAAAAAGTCTAGAAGATTGAAAAAAAGACTATATAACTAATCTGAACTTTGATGTTGGTCTACTTAACTCACGGACCAACAAATTCAGGTATTCAATCTGATCTATCCAAAACCATTTACTAAGCCATAAATGGTTTTCATTGGAGGTTTCGATGCTGAGCATCTATAGGCCCCACATGTCAATGCCACTGCAACACGGGTCCACCTGTTAGCTACCATATCCTTCAACCTTTTATCATCCTCTTCAACGTATCCCTCTAGGTGACCGACCGTCGCACGCTCTCGTCAACAAGGCCACACGAGGTCGAGTGCCACTGTCACCACATGCCTTCACATCGTGGACATTGTGTGCCACCACGGGTGCTACTGCTACTGTCTTTGTCCTTTTACACATAGACCACGTGGAACAGTGTAATTAATTAGGATTTTCGTGTGTCATGGTGTATTGGCGTTTCTATGAATAAACCTCTAGCCTCCACGCGTGGCTCTGCGGCAGCGTCGTCGTCCTCCGCTGCCTCTGACCTCGATGCCTTCCTCGTTCACCCATCCACCCCCGCCTTGGGCCCATCATCCACCATATCCCCCCAAGTTGCCCCCTTCCATCCTGGGAGTAGTGCGGCGGGACGGTCCAAGGCCCGTCGTTGGGCGGACGACGACCTTCTCGACGACTCTGATGCAGAAGAGGTGCAGACCACCTCCATGACTCCCTACCTGGACGCGGTTCGTCAGGAGCCGCAGCCGCCGAGGACGTCGACACTGCCTGTGATGTCCCTGTCGCGCATTCAACCTCTGACGTCGGGCCATGGCGATGCAGCGACGGGTTGCCAGGATGCTGGGCGAAGGCAGGGGAAACGTGGTCGGCCGCGCCCACAGCTGTTGTACGGCATGCCGGCTCGGCTAGTGAAGGGCCGCATCCCGGCACGCCAGCGCCTCAGGCGCCGCGGACGGGTCTCCGCCCCCAACGCCGATGGGTGGCGGGAGCTCCTCCACCGGCAGGAGACGCGACCAGCGACCACCTCGGCTGAGCCACGAGGGCCAGCAAGCGGAGGCCAGCCGACGAGTCATCGACCACCGAGGCGCATCCCGGCAGATCTTCTCGGCAAATGCCTCAATTGCCTCTCCTTCGCGCATCGGGTGGCAACCTGCAAGCTCCCCCAATGATGTTTGCGGTGCAGGGGATTTCGACACATTGCGCGCGACTGCAAGCAGCCAAGGCGCTTGGGCTCTCGGAGCTCGGGCGATGCAAGAGCCATGGGTCGCCAGTCGCAGCACCCGGCCTGCTCCGCTGGGGCCGGCGGACCATGGTGGCTCGCAAGACTTAGGTAGGGTCAAGTCGGCCAACGTCGTTCCTGCCACCAGTGGTCACCGGCCGGAAAAAGCGAGGTGGCGCCAAGACGAGGCGTCCACAGCGGTTGGCGAGGGGCTGCACAGACGACTCCGGCCTTCACCTCGATTCTTCTTGAAGCTCGGCTGGGCACGACGAGCTATCCAATGAGACGGGCGATGTCCACCGACCCCTTGACGCCGCGATGTTGCATGCGGGCGCCACGCATGGTCGCGACATTACGGAGGACCCGATGCTGGAGGAATTCGCAGCCTCACTCGCCAGCAGTCGGATCGTCGCGTGGCCTTCTCTTGAGCGCCAGTTGTCACCTCTAGTGCCCCCCCAACTACAAGATGAGGCCCCGGCAGTGACGGCCCCCCCAAGCAGGAGGATGAGGACCCGGCGGCTGTGGGGCTCCTGTGCATTGCGGACACCACATCCGCGCCCCATTCACTGGGCCGTGGACTCACCGAACCTCACGGTGGACGCTAGCCCTCCCAGTTCACCGCCGGTGGATACCCACCCAACCGAGGACAACGATGACTCCGCCAAACGCCGCCTCGATAGCTTCATTAACGAAGTGACGTGTAAGAGGGACTCTCCACTAATTCGTGAGCCTCCAAAGCAGCCTCCTGCTAAGCCAGTGATGCCGTGGCGGAGCAGGCGGTTGGCAGCCAGCCCCTCTCTCGAGTATCTGCTTCCAAGTGAGGTGAGGTGTTGATCATGCAGCGTATAGGCTTCACCAAGGGTCCATCAACGCCATCCGCGTCGGAGCTGGCGGCCTATGACAAGCTTTTCGGCGGTGACCTGATTGCGTCCGAAGCTGAAGCGCTGGACGAGCTCTTCCCGGCTGTTCGGTCTAGGCAGCCGCGAGGACGCAAGTCCACGTCCTAGGTCGCATGTCGGTATTGGTTGTTTCCTTTAATGTACTATCGAATGTAGAGGTCTCTTGATAGGATGGTCTAGCTATGACTATGTTAGATTGACCTCCTTCGGCGCTCGATACAAACGCGTTGTATGTTTGTCTAAACTCTTTTACTTAATCCAATGATACGCAAAGTTTTTGCGTATTTGAGAAAAAAAAACCCTCTAAAACTCTTGTTTGTTCAAAAAACCTCTAAAACTCTTATATGCCTTTAATCCAACCCAAAGCTCGCTCATTTTACGAATCACGAATCCAATAGTTTTTTCCTTTCATGCACTGGCATGTGGGTCCTAGATGTGCATAGAGGTAAAACTCCACTGTGCCTAGTGGCCGACCAAATTGTTGTTTTTAGGTGAGACCGGTAGAATACCTTATTTTTTAGGTAGAAGGTGAAGTAGACCACATAAGATACGAATAATATCACTGAGAAGTAAATAGTAGCACAAGAGAAATGAGCAATATCATAGGAGAAATCGGGTGCTTTATTCTCATCATGACATAATTTCGTATTTTGGGTGGATCTTGTCCTGGTTTCAATGACTTTGATTTCTTTTGTGTCTTACGTACTTTGCATGTCTTCTAAGGCCTTCAATATGTACACTTCTATATTTGTGGTGGTTGATCCTTTGATCTTCATCATAGCCTATACCAAGGTCTCTTGTATCCTTGAGACTAAGCATTTGTATACTATAGCAAACCTTGTTAGTACCATCAGTTATGTTGTCACTCAACTATCAATGATCCATGTTTCTTACTAATATCATTTTAGATGCACATTTAATGTACAAACAAATTATTTATGCAAATTTTATATCCTATATTTGTATATAATTTGACTATACATGTTAATCAAAATTATTAGTAAAAAATGACCCGGGGGTGGGGGGGGTGTCCACGAGAGACCGATCCTCTCCAGTCCAGTTCAGTTGGCCAGTTCGACACGAAGCACACGGCAAAACCGGAACAGAAAGCCTTGGAAGGGCCGCGGCGGAAGCAGCAGAACAAGCTGAGAAGGGGAGAAGATTCGGATGGGGGTGAAGAAGCAGGGAGGAGGCGGCGGAGGAGACCAGAAGGGCCTCCTGTGGAGATTGCCGAAGGTCACCTCTAAGGAGCTCGGCAAGATAGGCCCCGCCCTCGGAATCGGCATCGGCTGCGGCGCCGGCGCAGGCGTTGGATTCTTCGGCGGTAAAACCCCCGTCCTTCCCATCTCTTCTTGTAAATAGTAGCATTTCTTTGGTTTCTGGTCAGTTCTTTTCTAGTGGAACCGTCCGCATTGCTCTCTTCTCTTCACGCCCCGATTGATTCGGTCGATTAGGGTACCCTAAATGAGATTGAGCTTCGGTAGATTGGTGCGTACTTTATTTACCATCCCTTTTGTTGGTTGACGGGACGCTTGGCTATTCTATAATCTCTCTTCTTAGTGATTTGTTCTTGAGGCTATGTAGTTTTGGCCATAGGCCATCATCACTCTGGTTACCACTTACCAGGT